GCAAATACTCATCCATTTCATTTGGCTTTTCAGTTTTGTTGGCATATAGTAGAACAAGATAATTTCCTTTATTTCTTCTCTGTTAGCTGTTAGTTCTCCTTTTCCATTTTTGATGCCAGCAATTTGTTTTCCTTTCTCTTTTTTAATCACACTACCTAAGAGTTTATTTTATTTGTTTCCCCCCGACACCCAAAAAAAAAGAGAAAAAAACACAGCTCCTAGTATTATTTGTCAGTGCAATGGAGTTTATTGCTTTCAATTTTGTTAATCTCTATTTTGATTTTCATAATTTCCACTTTGGTGTTTCATTTGGGGGGTTGCATTTTGTTGTTTTTCTAGCTTTTTAAAAAATTTATTTTCATGCTTATTGACGAAATTGTTTAGAGCTATAAATTCCCCTCGGGTCTGTTTTGACTGAATTGCAAATATTAATATGTTGTCTCATTGTTGTCATTTTCTTTGGTGAAATATCTGTAGTTTCTATGATTTAATCTTTTACCTGACAATTCTTTAGGATTAAATATTTAGAGTCTAGTTAATTTTGAAACCTTTCTTCAGATGCACATTATTGAACGTAATTGTATTGGATTGTACTGAGTAAAGGATGTATTTAATATTTCTGCTTCTGCATTTGTTTATGATGTTTTATGCCCTAGCAAATGTTCAGTTTTTTCCTGAAATTACCATACACACCTGAGATATATGCATACTCCTTTTTATTCCCATTTAGTAACTATCATATCTAACTTTTCCAAAATTTTGTACTTCTTTCTTATTTTAAATTTTTGTTAGGTTTATCTAGGTTTGTCTCAACTCTGAAGTCCCATTGTCTTACCATAACCTATTCGTTTTCTACTTCTCTTGCCTTCCCAAACTCAACTCTTCCTCTACACCATGACCTTTAATCCTCAACTATTCAGTTGTCTCCCAGGCTGTGACCCACATGTTAGCTATTCTCTCCTCTTTTCTCCATCTCAAGATGGAGTGTCAACTAAAGTGTCAACACTTTGGTGAACCATTTGAATTCTTAACTGGCCTCTTCTCTCAAGTTTCTGGCCTCCCATCATAGTGCTGACTGTCCCCTGCCAAACTTCATCTTTGGATCACTCCCACTATCTGCAGTTTTCACTTCTACACCCATGCTACTGAACAAAGATGGAGAAAATCACACAACTGTTCTAACTGGGTCCACTCCAAATTTATGTTGCACAGCCTTAACTGTGTCCTTATCATCTTACTGTCCTACTCTCTGCAGTGGTTCTTCCAAACCTTTTCCTCTCTCTTCTAACCTCCCATGGCTCCTCTTTGTCCTTCTTTCAACTGAGAATCTTATATTTTACTCAAAAAAAAAAAAAGAAAGAAAAACCCTGAGGCCATTCACTGTGAGCTTTCTCTTCTTCCCTCTTCCTCATCTATCACTCAGATGTCTTCTGCCACTATTTCCTCATTAGTTCCTGTCATACAGAGGTGGCCCTTGCCACCTTACTCCTTGCCAAGGCAAACTCTTCTACCTACCCAGTCAGTCCTTTTCCATCTTATCTCCAATAGAATCTTCCCTTCTCTCATTTCCACTCTCTCACTTATCTTCAATCTCTCCCTGTTTGCTGGCTTCTTTCTTACTGCCTACAAATATGCCCACGTTTCCCTTATTCTTAAAAAGCCCTCACTTAATCCTTCTATCTCTGCTATCATCCTCTATCTCTTCTCTCCTTTGTGGCTAAACTCCTTGAGAACTCCATCTACAATACATGCTTCCAGGTCCTCTCCTCTCACTCTCTTCTTAACTCTTCCAAACTCGTCTTTCAGCCAAAACTGATCTCTCCAAAGTAACCAGTGATCTCCTAATTGCCAAATCCAGTGACCTTTTTCCAATCCTCATTCTTCTTGACCTCTCAGCTTTTGACACTGTTGATCAGCCTCTTGTCCTTGATAGTCTCTTCTCCCTATGTTTTCAGGAGATTATTCTCTCCTCAATCTCATGCCTACTAACCATGGATGTCCCACACTGCTCTGTCTTAAGCCCTTTACTCTTGTCCCTCTGCTGTTTCACTTAGTGATCTCATCAACTTCCATGGATAATTACCATCTCTGTGCTGATGACATCCTGCCCTAACCTGTTGCCCTTCAGTCTCACATCTCCAACTGCATTTGAGACATCTTGAAATGAATATCCGATAGACATATTAAACTCAACATGTCCAAAACTGAGCTTACTGTCTCTTTTATTTTTTAAGGCAGTTGGGATTAAGTGACTTGACCAGGGTCACACAGCTAGTAAGTGTCAAGTGTTTGGTCTGAGGCCGGACTTGAACTCAGGTCCTCCTGACTTCAGGGCCGGTACTCTATCCACTGCGCCACCTAGCTGCCCCTGAGCTTACTATCTTTCCCCATAAGCTTTTCCCTATCCAGACTCCCAATTACTATCAAGGGGAACACCATTTTTCCAGCAGTTAGGTGTTATCTTTGACTTCTTATTATCTCTTAACCTCCCATATCCTCCATTGTGTTGTTAGGACCTGTGTGTCCCCTTCTCTCCTCTGACACTGCCACCACTCTAGTGAAGTCCCTCATCACCTCATGCGTGAATTATTGCAATAACCTGCTGGTGGGTTGGCCCGCCTCAGGTCTCTCCTTACTGTAATCGTTCTTCTATTTAGCTACCAAAGTGATTTTTCTAAAATGAGGACTGAGCTTTGTCTGGCCACCTAACCTCACCCCAATAATCCCCAGAGGCTTGAGCATAAATATAAAATCCTCTGTTTTGGCATTCAAAGCCATTCATAACCTCTCACCTCCTTCTCCTCCTCCGGTATTTTTATACCTTATTCCTTACCACATTCTCTTCAGTCCAGTGACATTGGCTTCTTTTCAGTTCTGAAAACAAGACACTCCATCTCTCAGCTCCTGGAATTTTCCATGGCTACCCCTCAGTTGTAGAATTATCTCCTTACTGGCTTCTCTGGTTCCCTGCAAATCCCACTTAAAATCCTATCTTCTACAGGAAGCCTTTCCTAATTTCTCAATTTTAATGCCTTTCTTCCCTTAATTATTTCCTATTTATCCTGTATATAACATATTTGTACATATTTGTTGTCTCAACCATTATATTTTAAGCTCCTTGAAGGCAGATACTATCTTTTGCTTCTTTTCCTATCCACAAATGGTTAGCATAGTGCCTGGCACGTGGTAGGCACTTAATGAGTCCATATCAACTGACTGACTGGTTCAGATCAGAGTAAGATTCATGTGATGGCTCTTGCCTCATTCCCCACTTCCATGTTTGTCTATACTTTTTCTCACACTACTTGATTATAAAAAAAATAGTTAATTTCTCCACCCCTCCTCCTTCTTCCTTTCTTTTATAGTGTATTTTTCTTCTCCCTTTTCTTTCCTTTCTAAAATCCATCAAAATAGGGAACCAAAAAAAAACCTGTATTGTTTGTCTCTGTGACTGTTGAAGAAATTAGGAATCTAGAAGGGTACTTGTTTCTTCCCTCCGTTATAATATAAGCATTTCATTATTATATAGTGAAATATTCTTCAAATATTTTTGCCTTTCTAGGTTCCTCTTATTTCAAAATTTCTGTTCACCTTTGGTCTTTTTATAATCCTCTGTTCCATTAAGGTATTTTTTTCTCGTGTAGAATTACTTTCACCTTTGCGGGGTAAATTATTCTTGGTGATAATCCTGTATCTATTTTGCCTTATCTTACTAAAAATCTCTTCTCTTTTATAATTATAGCTGCCAAGTCTTGCATGAATCCTGTCACTCCTTGGTACTTTCACTCCTGGATGCTTGCAGTATTTTGTTTTAACCTATAAGCTATGGATTTTGGCTATGATAGTCCTGGGAATTTTCATTTCGAGATTTCTTTCAAGAGAACACCAATAGATTATAATTTCACTTTGTTCTTTGTTTCTAATAAATCTGGACAGTTTTCATTTATGCTTTACTAAAAAAAATGGTATCTAGGTTTTTTGTTTTGCTTTGTTTTTTAGCGATGGTTTCTGGGAGTGTCCCTTAACACTTAGATTGTCTGTTCTGCCCCTGTCTTCCAAGTCAGTTTACATTTTTGAGTTTTTTATTTGTTTGTTTTTTCCATGTCGATGTCAGGGATGGGGCTCAAACCCAGGCCTTCTTTCCTGACTCTGGGAACAGCTTTGTCTCCGTGAAGCAGCACTCACTGCCTCTTACTCCATCCAGGTCCACTGTTATTTCTGCTTCGTCACTCTGCCATTCTTTTCATTCCTCTGGCTCTAACTTCTAAGACCATATATAATTTGTTTAAAGTGAAATTTTATTAAGCTTATTTGGCCTTCTATAAGTTTATACCTGATTTATATAAAGAGCTTACTTTCTACTTAATATTATTAACTTACTTAATACTTAATCCTTAACTTTCTACTTATTAGTGTTAACTACCATTTATATAGCGTTATAAAGTCTGCCGATATCTCATTTGATCCTCACAGCAACTCTAGGAGGTGAGTGCTATTATTATCCCCATTTTACAGTTGTAGAAACTGAGGCATACAGAGGTTAAGTGACTTGCCCGGGGTCACACTAGTAAGAATCAGAGAACAAGAAATAACTGGATTTGGAATGGAAATTTTGAACTATATATAATATGACTACAGTGGAAAAAGTCTACCTTTTAATGTATTTCTTAATTTCACACCAAAATGAATTTCAGGGTTTGGTAGAGGTTTTTGGTGTTCATTCCTGTCATGGTTATTATAAACAAAAAAATACAATATATTTTAAGAGCTAAAAATTTTTTGATTTGGTGTTTGTAAATTAAATTCACAAATTTCTTGTAATTGTTTTTCCCCATATGTGCCATTGTATTTTCTCATGTATTGTTATTATTGAAAGTACTTATTGATCAAAATCTTTAAAATGATTATTATTATCATGCCCTAGTTTGTGCAGAAGTTTTGTTTAAAACATTGAATTGCCTTCATCTTTAAATACATTTACTCTGAATTTTATTATGCAGGAATTACATCGAACGTGAGCATAATTGGCCAGCGCATGAACTATGGGTATGGTTGTGGTGATTTTGAAGATGACAAGTTACAAGATGTTTCACCTAGTGTTTTTAAAATGCAAAATAAAGAACACCTGAAGCATTATAAGCATACAAAAGGTTTGTGAACTTCCCTACAGGCTTATAAAAGTGAATTATTAGATAACCAAATTTACCCAACCGAATTCTTATATTAGTACTCCACAAAATACAAATGCTTAAGTTATTTGACTGCTAAAATTGGTAGAAGGAAAAAAATCAAGGAAATTTTGTGGGTAATACTTAAGGCCTGAAGCATGTAGCTATTGTTAACACCTTTTTTTTTTAAGGTAGTTGGGGTTAAGTAACTTGTCCAGGGTCACACAGCTAATAAGTATCAAGTGTTTGGTCCGAGGCTGGAATTGAACTCAGGGCCTCCTGACTCCAGGGCTGGTGCGCTATGCACTGCGCCACCTAGCTGCTCCTGTCAACACCTTTAGTTTTAAAACTTCTGGTATGGCCAGAGTTTGTATCCCTCTCAGCTTTTCTGATCAAGCGCGCAGAAAGAGTTCTCCTGCTTATATTTACCCCATAGAATTAGGGGGCAGGGGGTAGGGGAGGAGGACAGATTTCAAGGGTTACAAGCGCGAGAGGTAATACTTATAATTTAAAATTGTCTCGTGTTCAGATTTGTAAGCAGCAAGGAACTGTTATATAATCATATAATCCACCGTTCTATAAGCTGGAAACCTCAGCAAATGCAGTGAAAACAAGGTACAATTTTGTGTTTGGAATGTAAGCAGATCACTCTTTAACTTAACCATGTGCAAAATAAGACTGGGATCACGGCGAATATATATGTGGAGTGACTCAACCAAAAGATCTATTACATAGTTTATTTCTATGATTAAGTAAGAAATGGAAGGAAAGAATGGGAGGAAATGCTTAAGTTTCAGTAAAGAATCTCAGCCCGTGGGATGGTATAGTGATTGTCCTGTTTAATCACAATAGCCGTTTCTTAGCTTGTGTATGAAGTGGATTTTTTTTACCATATTTACTCATATATTTTCTCTGCTTGAGCATTTCTTCCCCGTGCTTTGAGTTTGAGAAAAATGTTTTTTTAAAAAACATCGCCTTTTCCTTGTATAATCTCTACCTACACTTAGTGTTTTTTTCATTGAAATGAGAACTTTTCTTGCCAGTGAAAGAGTTACTATTAAAAATAGGTCTGGTTTTTGATTAGACAGAAAAAGGCTGAATTTTAAAAGCACCTGTCTTTTGGATTCATTCCTTAGTAGCTGCCTTGTGTCTTTTCTCGCTCCTTTATTTCCTTCTTGCCTCTCCTGAGCGCAGGATTCAGAGGCAGTTGATCTACCAATGCGCTCCTAACTCTGTGGAGAGATGCAGGAGTGTGCAGCAAAGGTGTTAAGACTCCAAACTTGAAAAGGAAAAGGAAAGGAAATTATAAATGTAAATGTTGCCTTCCATCACTTGCAAAGCATTTTCCTGTCTGTCCTACTCAGGAAGATTTGTTTACAGCATTCTTTAGTTTAGAAGTGAAGAAGTACTAAAGAAAACATTAGAGGCAGTGCCCGCTTTTGGCAGCCTCAAATCTCACCTACATCCAGCAGTGCTTTCGCAAGTGCCTGTATTTCACTTTTCACAGCCTTGATCAGTTTACTTTCAACTGCTCATTCCTCTTGTTTCCTGCTGCCCCTGTAAACTCAGCATTCCATAGCAAGGCAAGACCACCACCTAATGGTGGACAAGGGTAGCTCCAGACTGCACAGTGCATATGAAAAAAAATAATCCATTTTTTGCCATTCTGCTTTCTGATGCGGTTTCCAGGAGTACATTGCAGCAAAAAGCGGGGATTGCCTATAGATTTAGATTCCAGTTAACTTTGCTACTGATTGCTGTGTAACTCTGGGTGAGTCACTGTTTTTTAGTAAAAAGGGGGAGTGTGGGCCCCAGGGCAAATTATATGTTACACTGTGTGGGCTTTATCCTTTCCACTTGATTAGCCCAGTCATGCCTCTCCCCCATATTTTTTTTTCATGCCTGTGAAATCAAGTTAAAATTAATATCAAGGGCAGCTTTAAAAAGAATCCAAAGTCACAAAACAGTGATTGCAGCTTAAAATGTGTGTGTGTATATATACACATATATGTATATGTGTGTAGACATACATATGTAATAAGCTTAAGCATTTACATAATATATAAATGTGTGTGTGTGTGTGTGTGCGCACACACACACACACACACACACACACACATATTTATCTTTATATTTGTAGGACCAGTTGGTCCTCTCTCCTCTCTATCTGCCTAAGTCTATCCTTTGACACCTGGAAACTTTGCCCCAGTTTGCTTGCTGTTTGAGATGACTGGGGGGATAAAATGAATGAAGCTTAATGAGGGCAGATAGATGAGGACCTAAATGTTTTCCCTTGAACCCCATTGATAGAGTGAGACTATTAGGGGAAAGGGGAGGAAATTGTGAGTAAATATGGCATATTTATATGAAGTTTATTTTGAACATTTTTTTCTTCATACTCAGTGATTGATAGTTTAAGTTTCTGTTTGTTCAGCAGACTATAGTGCAAAGAATAAATAAATGTAAAAAAGAAGTATGAATAGCCTACTATGAAAAAAATTATAAAAAACTCAATGATTCATATCCTTGGGATGGCTGTGATTTTTTCCTTATTGTAAGTTGTCGGCTATTAAGTGTAACTAATCTTCGATGATCTGTGTATTTGCCAAGTTTTCAATCCCATGTTGGCTTATTTTTCCCATTGTATAGCTTTTGGGACTATCTCCTTTTGCTGTCAATTCACATGTGCACTAAAAATACAAACTAATTTTTGTATTGACCAAAGCCAAAAAACATAGAGTAAATTTAACATGATAAATGTTGTGTTAAATTCCAAAACCAAATATAAATAATTTTCAGATTTCAGATTTCATACTAATTCTCCCCATTAGCACAGATAATCTGGAGGTAAGCCTGACCACAGTCAATCAGAATTTCTTTCAGTTAGTTCATCAGTTGGGGGAATATATTAGTCAAACTGGTTGGCTGACCAAGTTTATCATAAGTTTACCCAAATGTAGCAATCATTGCAGTCAAAAAATAATCGAACTGTTAGCCAGATATAGTATAGAATTTTTCACTTTCCATTTCTGGTCTGCTTCAAACACTTTAAAAACATAAAGCACTTGTTACTGAAATGTAGATGATAACCATTATTAATAGCATAAATTTATATAGCACTTTAAGGTTTGCAAAGCTCTTTACATGTTATCCCTTTATATTTAAATGTATGAAAAATTATATATTTTAAAAGCTGTTACATTATAAATAATGTAAGTGAAAAACAATTAGAAAAATTGTATTGTCTTTTTAAACCTATTCTTTTAGGATTTACAGGGTCATCAAATTTACAGCAAATTTCCAATTTTGACTTCACTTCAACAAATGCCTTATCAGAAGACTCAGTAGTAGTTGTTGGAAAAGGTATTAAGATTTCAAAGTTATTTAGTTTTATTTATAGTCTTCACACATAGGAAAGCTTATCTGTTTGAAACAGAAAAGGAGAGTTTGGTTTAATTCAGATGTTCAGTAAAGATTTTTTTTTTTGTGAGGCAGTTGGGGTTAAGTGACTTACTTACCCAGAGTCCCACAGCTAGTGAGTATCATGTATCCGAGGCCAAATTTGAACTCAGGTCCTTCTGACTGCAGGGCCGGTGCTCTATCCACTGTGCCACCTAGGTACCCCTTCAGTAAAGATTTTGAAAAATCTTTCAAATTGAAATTAATTAGAAATGCATCAGACCTTATTTATACTCCTTAATAACTCAGAAAAATGAATTCACATAAGTGATTTTTTTTTCAGTAATAATTTCTTGTTTAAGGGTGTTAGTGAAGGACTTAATAGCTACAGTATACAATACGTTCATTATCTCCAGGACCTTTATAGTACTCTTTTTTTTTTTACAAGAAGTTTTAGGAAAGCTAGAATTAGGATGGCAACTTTTGCTTATTCATTAAATTATCAGCTTAAATTTGTATAAATATGTTGGTTTCCACCTACGTTTTAGACAAACAAGAATTTAACTCCTAGTTTCATGTTAAAGGAAAAAGAAAAGAAAATTTTAAATGTTTTTTGTAGAGGTAGTTTAGTTTGCTTTATTTTTCCACTTATTTTTTTAATTGAAATGAAAACTTTTAAAGTAATAAAACATTGACAGTAATTATTACCATCTCATTCCATGTCACTCCCCCTGCTTAGAATACTCTTTGGTGTCTCCCCATTGCCTATAGGATGGAGTTTAGACTTATATTCAGGGTTTTCATGAGTTTGCCCCAGTTGACCTTTCTAGCATTATCTCTTGTTCTTTTACATTTATCCTTTGCCCCAGTGAACTAATCTAGTCACAGTTTTCTATATTCCCTCCTGACATGTCTTGTCTATTTGCGTTATTGTTCCCTTGCCCCAGTGGTGTTTGTTTTTTCTCCCCTGCTCTTCTAACTTCTACCTATCTTGAAAGATTAACTCAACTCAGACCTATCTAGTCCATAATCTCTTCTCTAAATTTGCAACACTTGTCTGTAGTATTCATTTAACAATAATCATCTACTGTCTTCTAATACCTCTCGTACTGTTGTTTCATGCTGTTGTTTAACTTTTCATGTATTTATTAAACTTCGTAACTAAGTTATAAGCCTCTTGAAGGCAGGAACCATCTTTGTATTTCTCACAGTGCCTTGTGCACAGGCATTCAATGAATATTTGCTGGTTGATTGATTTCAGGTGTTTTTGGAATCTCAAGTTCAGTTCCAGTTACAAACAACCAATCAGTGATACCTTCTGTGGAAAATGGGGATACATTTTCTGTTAAACCAAGCATTGAGCCACCATCAGGGATTTATGGAAGAGCAGTCCCACAGAACAGTCTACCATATCTGGATGTTGAGACTGAAAAAGATGTAAGGCTGTATTATCTTTTTAAAGGCTATGTTATCTTTTTTAAAGTCTGTATTTTGAGACGTTGTTTTATAGACTTTAAAACTGAATATGCTTTGATTTAAATAACCATCTCTTACTGAATTTTTAAATGGTGTGATCTTAAATAGTAGATGGTTTCCCTTCCCAGCAAATACTACCTTGTTTCTATTACTGACACATGGTAATATTCGAGGCCCAGTTTTTCCAAGAATGCACTAGAATGTACTAGTACCCTAGTAAAAACCAGCTGTACAGCACAAGAACCAAGAAATACATAAATCCTAATGACAGTGAATTTTATGCTTATCAGCACTTTTACAAGAAAATTTATTTTAACTTCTGTCACATATAAGTATCCAAATATTTAAACAAAAACATACAAAAAAGCAAAAAAAAATGATGATTATAAATGCCTGTATAAATAACCGTAGGCTTCTCTTTAGCACTTCAGCAAAAATACCTAAATTAATTTTAACAAGGTAGTAAAAAAGATATGTATTTAACATGAATTTTGTTGCTAGTGTTCTATTTTATGTGTATATTATTCTTTTATTTCTACCTTCTTCATTCTACATCACTTCATGTGAATTCCATTTTTTAAAAAATTCATATTCATTATATGGTATGATAATATTGTAATATAGTCACATAAAATTGATGTGTCTATCCCAAGCAGGCAGATTATCTCTTCTTTTAATCCATCCATCCCTTCTTATCATCTGAGACTTTTATCCATTACTTCAGTTCTGCTCAATGAAGGCTCTTCCTCTTGATCTCTGAATATTTTATGGATGCAAGGGAATATACAGGCTGTCTGTTGGTCATCATTCTCACTCTGTGACCAGCCTTCTTACTTTTCCAGTCACAAAACTTTGTGATGATATCCTTTATGCCATTTCTTCAAGTGTAGTTCTTTGATAATGATGATGTATTGCACTTTACATGTAAAGCTCAGCACAAGCCTCTCCATTACCCTTTAACTCTTTGGAGACTCACAACCCTGTTATTATGAAAAGATTATTGATCATTATAAAGGTCAGTGTTTGTTTCAGAGAAAATTTTAGGGTCATTAAAAGCAATGCAGAATTTCTCAAATGCAATCAAGCTTTCTCTTCTCCATCTATTCAGTTCTGGACTTAGCTCACTGTCTGTGCATAGTATTTGTCCAAGATATATGTACTAATGACTAATCCTATGAGTTGTCCATCTAAATACCTAAATAGGTATTCTTCTTCAACTTGGTTTTTACTGTGCTGCTAGGATTTTACAGAAGAGTTTGTATGCCAGACTGGTGTTACATGTTGCACTTGGCTCCCTATGATTAAGTGTTTGCTACTAAAGATAGTTTCTAGGTTTTTGTGGGCAACCAGTTGTGGGTATTAATTTATCATACTTAAATTTCCTTAGGAGATGCTGATTGCCTATTACCTCTAAAATAAAAAATCTGTCTACCATTTAAAGCTCTTCACAACTCTGGCCCCTCCCTACCTTTCTATTCTCTCACATTACTCCCTAACGTATAATTTATGGTCCAGTCACACTGGTCTGTTTGCAGTTTCACACAGAGAGTATCTGGAATCTCCTTGCCTTTTCATTGTTTGTCTCCCATACCATGGAATCTCTCCCTTCTCACATCTTCCTTTTGTTTCCCTAGTTTGCTTCAAAACTCAGCTCAATCTCTAGAAACTTTTCCTAATTACCTCATCTTCAAGTACCCTGCTTTCCAAAAAATAGCCTTATATTCTTTTTTGTATAGTGTGTGTGTGTGTGTGTGTGTGTGTGTGTGTGTGTGTGTGTGTGTATTCTGTATATATTTGACTTTCCAATTAGAATGTAAGCTCCCTGGGGAAGGGACTGTTTCATTTTTGTCTTTGTATTTCAGCATTTAGCACAGTATTTGATATATTGTGGGTGTTTAATAAATGTTGATTGATAGGATACCATAACTTCTAGTTCTTATTCTTCTCTAATTTTGTATTGTTTTTATCTTTGCTCTGCAAGTCAGTAGTCTTATTTTACATAGACAGCTAATGCAGAAATGACTCTCACATCTGTAACCAGTATATTCCCATCTGTTAAGAGATAATCATTTTCATTTTTTGATATATTATTTTTTACCATGTCTAATTTCTCCCAATTCACTTCTTAAAGAAAGTATTCTTGGTGTGTAGAAGCAAAACTTCTTTATAGTTTATTAGTCCTTGGCCTCTCTCATTTCTTATTCTTGAATTATATTGTCCAGTATGTTTCCATTTTATTAAAATTGTTAGGTATTAAAGAACTTATTAGTTTAATTGGGAGCAGCTTAAGCTCGACTTCACTATCCTCTGTACAGTTGGTAGGTAAGCTACAATTATCTTCATGTTGGTCTTGTTGGCAAATGCTTATCGTGAGTACTGTAACACAAGATTACCAAGTATCCCGTTCAATACTGATTCTATTGACTTTGGAAGTGAAATAAAAGCAACTTTGGTAGCTCACTTCTAGAGTACCAACAGCTAAGTTTAATGTTTAATGTTCATAGATGGCCTGAAAATGTGTACCTTAGTATCCTTTTTTTTTTTTTGCCACTCTGCCACTGTCACTGCCAAAGTGAAGGAGTCCACAAAGGCCCAAGAGCTGCTTTGTATTTTTCATTATATTGTTGATTACTATATTGTATAGCCAGTCTGCTGGTGATAAATCTCATTTTTAGGGAAACTAACATTTTGAAAACCATTGTAGGCCTGTGGTAGCTCCATACCCAAAGACTTTCTAGCCTAGGAGAGTCTGCTAGAGTTTGCTGTCCGTTGTCATTCACTGTCTGTTTTAAGGACCTAGGGTCACCAACATTATAGAATGATTTAGTTAGATTGAACTATTTATCAGTGCTTTGTAGCCTCTCCCCCATTGTTGGTTTCTAATTTTTTTTTGCCATTGTAGTTACTGTTCCTAGAAATGTTTTTTTGCAGATAAGTTTTATAATTGCCTTTCAACTGCTGAGTATCATAACTCTGTACTTTATCCGTATCGCTTTTCAAAAACTTGAGACATTTCACACTTCACTAGCAATATAATAGCGAATTATTTTTTCTACTCTTAGATGCCAACATTGAAATTTAATCATTTTTTGCTATACACGTGGCCATTCATTATCTCTTCTGTGTAGAATAGACTTTGTTACAGATATGGATGAGTATGTGTCTGGCACAGGAAAATTTTTAGTAACTATTTAAACTACTTATTTATCTTCAAATGTTTCAACTTTTAATGCAGATTAAAGCTTCTATTTCAAAATCCACTTATGACAAGATGAGACAGAAGAGAAAGGAAGAAAAAGAGATAAGTCATAAAGAACTTTTTGAAGTCAAAGATCATGAGAAAAAGGAACATAATTCCAGAGAACGAGTTAAACATACTGAAGCTGAGAGAACGGCAACGGAAAGTGAGTTCAGTTAAAATTGTGGATTGGGGATGGGGGCTACAGTTGTGGTGTGTTAGTGCTAATATTATACTAGATGATATGATATAATATTCTTTGCTTTAGTATTTGATATGATCAAGATCATAATGTTACATCGGTCAAAACCCGAAAAGTTTTTTCATTTGACATAGTAGTCTCTATAGAACAAATATTGAATCCTTGTAGTAAAAAAGAAAATAAATTGCTAGTTTGAATGTAAAGCTTTTATTAAAAGTTAATATACTATCTTCATTTAAATTCCTAGTTTTTTTTTCACTTTTCTTCTAGACTTGAGTATTTTTGGAGATGAGGTGGTAATATCAGGTTTATCTTTAGAAAGTGTTGCCTTCAGTCCTTCAGCAAAAGGAGTATCCTATTTAAAAAGATCACCATCTTTACTTTTTTCAGAGTCAGGTAAATTAATTGTTTGTAACTTTTTTTAATGTTGAAAAGATACTAATTACACTAATAAGCCTCTTTTGTGCAGACTACAGTGGAAGAAGCACTAGAAGTCAGAAGATCTTCCTTCTGGTCCTGATTCTGGGCGGCCCTGAATGAATGAGTTACTGAATATCATTAGTCATAGGAGTAATAATCAAGATATTTGATTATTTTTCATTCCCAAATATACCAGATAGTACATTTTTCTAACTCCAATTAATTACACACCGTAAGAAAAATCTGTAAAATGATTAGATTATTCTTAAATTCCTTTCTAATTTTAAAATTCTATGATTTTTTTTCCTTCAAGATTCAACTAAATTCCCTCTGTCGGCTGTCTTCAATTTATCCTGTATATATCTTATTTGTACATAATTATTTGCATGTTGTCTCCACTATTAGACTGTGAGCTTCTCTAAAATAGGGACTGCCCTTTGCTTTTCTTTGTAGCCCTAGGCCTTAGCACAGTAACGAGTAGGTATTTGATAAATGCTTATTGTTTGACTAATCAGACTGCTCTCATAACTTTATTAGAGATAGGTATGGACTAGATCTAACTATCCTATTTTATAGCTAAGGCATAGAGAGGTTAAGTAATTTGTGGTTACTCGTAGAAGTCAGTCATTGCAGGACCAAGAGTAGAATATAGGTCTCCAGATCATTTTTTAAATGCATTGGAAACTTTTATGAAGGAATGCTATGTGAGGAAAGCAGAACCAAAAGTACAAAGTACGCAATTGCTACAACACCATAAATAAAGATAACACTAAAATGTGATAAGATTCAATGTAAATAATGCAACAAATTGTTATTACCATGTTTAACAAAGTTAAGTCACATATTCCTTTGTGTTAATTAGTAAACTACAAAAGCAAATTCACAATTACACTGTTAAACACTTTTTCTTAACTTTCTGGTAATGTATTATTGGGGCTTACTGGATTTGTGTTGGAAATATCTTGCATCAAAACATCCATTTTTTAAAAATTTAACTATTGGACAGGTTTGAAATTTAGAGATAGATGAGAATAAAAGTGATATGTAAACGTAAATGTGTAAAGGTAAGAATAAAGTAGTATATTACGTGTGTTAGGATTGAGGAGCAAATAAGAGTCTGTGCCTTAATCAGAAGTGTTTGCAAACGATAATGTTGATTGATCTTAGCCTTAATTTTACAAATAAAACATGGAAGATTCAAACATCTGTTTTGTGGTTTTTCCACATCTAGTTTTCTTTAATAATAATGGGTAATCATAGCAGAACTTTCTACTATTTAAGATTTGGAAATGGAAGTGTAAACAATACTATAATTAATGGATTAACTCATCAAGTTTTATTTCCCCATAGCTGGTGTGGGGTTTTTTAGACTTTTTTTGTGTAGTAAAATGTTAGGGTTTTTTTCTCCCTTGAAAATAAAGAAGGGATAAGATTTCCAGAGTTGTCTGGATTTATAATCAGTCAGAGTCAATACACATTTGTTAAACACCTGCTATGTGCCAACTGTTGTGCTAAGCATCGGGGTACAAAGAAAGGTCAAAAAACAATCCCTGCTCAGGCATGTGCTAGCTTTGTGACCCTGGGCAAGTCACTTAACCCCATTTGCTTCAGTTTCCTCATCTTTAAAATGGGGATAATAATAGCACCTACCTCTCAGGGTTGTTTTAAGGATCAAATGAAATAATAATTGTAAAGTACTTAGCGTAGTGCTTGGCATATAGTAGGTTCTGTATAAATGTGAGCTGTCATCTTCCTCATCATTATTATTATTGATTTAATTATACAATTTTGTTTAAAACTAATGTTAATAAAATTGGATTTCTGTGACTCTAATAATAAAATTAGATGAAATATTATCTTATTTAATATTACATGAACTTGGCATGATGGTCTGTGATTATTTAATGTGGTTTACTTTCATAGGTGAAGTGTCTCCTGGGGCCAGACCACAATACAAAGAAAGAATCCCATCTGTCACACATAGTCCGGAAATAATGGATCCATCTGAACTGAGGCCTTTTTCCAAACCAGAAGTAGCACTTACAGAAGCCCTAAAACTGTTAGCTGATGATGATTGGTAAATATACTAAGACCCCATTGTGTTCCAAAAGTTAATTGGCAGTTCTTTTTCTTAGAACTTAGTACAATGGTGTTTAAGAACCCAGGTCAGCCACAAGTCCATTCAACTTTTGGTGCAGCTGAAACATAATGCAGTTAATATAAGAATAATCATATCATTAGTGTGTTTTGAGAGTAGTGCTGTCAGTGTTATAGTACGCCTAGTATTGTGGATAAGATAGGGTATTTTTAGCTTATATGGGAACCTAATCCTTTATAGCATTGTTTTTATGGAAAAATAACATTCTCCCTCCAAAAGTGGAACTGCTGACACAGGGACTGCACATAATCCATTGTCTGTGGTGGACAGAACAATAGGGAACAGTCACATTGTTGCGCATACGTATCCACATGTGTGCACAAACACGTACTGCCACCACCTCTTGGGCTGCCCACCCCAGTATATGCAAAAGGTAAAATAGTGGCAGTGGGAATGTTACAAACAGCTAGCTGGCCCACTGGAGAGAATGCTGGCCTTGCAGTTAAAAAGACTTAATTTCAAATCCAGCCTCAGATAATAACCAGATGTGTGACCTTTGGGCATGTCACTTAACCTCTGTCTGCCTCCGTTTCTTCATCTGTAAAATGGGGATAATAAGAGCACCTATCCCCCAAGGTGGTTATGAGGATCAAATGAGGTAATATTTATAAAATGTTTTGTAGACCTTTTGAAGTGCTTCATAAAATGCTAGCTGTGGCTGCTGCTGCTATTGTTGTTACTAATTGCTGATTCTTGGTAGAGGAGAAGGTTTGCTCTTTGTTTTGGGATTGGACAAAATCTGTGATGCTAGGAAACTCCCATTGAGGAAATACCATCTATCTGTGCAGATCCTAGTTTCTGTCATAGATGGCTCTCCCTCTTCCTGGATAAGTTTGGTACTGGCTCACCCCAGCCTCTACCTCCTAGCTTTCCAGTTTCTCACCTCTCCAGCTCCGATGGCCACACACAGGTACATGCCACAGTGTGCTGGTAAATGTTTTAACAACTGGCTTTCCAGGGGAAAACTTTTTCACACAATACATTTTAAAATTTCATCTGCATTGTTAACATTTAACCACTTTCTTAAGTCTTGACAATGAACAGAACAATAAATCAAGCCTTGATTTGTATTGTACCATTAAGTTCTCTGGCTCCAGCACAGCCTAAGCACATCTGCCTCCTCTGTCCAAAACCCCTTCTCCTCCCTTCCCCCCCCCCAGTACCCATAGGTACAAAACACACACAAAAGCAGTGAGGTGGCACAATAGATAGAGTGTTGGACTTGAGTCAGGAAGACCTGAGCTCCAGTCTGGTCTCAGACACTTACTAGCTCTGTGACCTTCGTCAAGTTACTTAATGTCTCCCAGCCTCAATTTCCTCATCTGTAAAATAGGGATAATAAAAGCATCTACCTCCTAGAGTTGTTTTGAGGCTCAAATGAGGTAACACATAAAATGCTTCACAAACCTTAAAATGCTATGTAAATGTAAGGTGGTGATGATGATGATGGTGATGAAAACAATAATAACTAAACCTGCCCTGGGTACTGGAATTTCTCATTGAACCATGAGGGTAAGATACCTCCACACTTTCCTAATTAGCACCCACCTGAAAGTAATATATATGAAATGTTCTGTTCCCCTCAGAAAGTAATAGGAGGGAGGATACACAAATTAACAATATCTTTATCTAGAGATATAAATTCTTGGGGAGAAAAAAACCCACTGTTCTCATCAAAGGTACTAGTTGAGGACAGCCACCTCAGCTAGTTCCTACCCGCTGATGACATCAGAAATAATTTCACATATGAAAATGTTATTGAGTCAAGAAACATTTGTTAAGCACTTTTTATGCTAGGCACCGTACTAAGTACTGGAGATACAAAGGAAGACAAAGATCTCTCAGGCTTACTTCCTTTATCTCTGTTATCTTTCATCTATCTTTTGCTTTTCTTTAATTTTGACCATTTTTAATTTTTTTTAATTTGAATTATCTCCTTATCTTTTGGCACATAGAGGTCCCATAAGCACTAAGTTGTTACAGGAAACAAGCGCAGGCTACTTAAGCATGTGATATTTTACATGTTGAGACTTTAAAACATGAGTGTTCTGTTATCCAGTAAAACTAACCTTCATTAACCTTTGTCTTCTCCTTCTCTTCCTTTCCTTCCCACTTCTGTCCATTCCCTAGTGCTCCAGAAGGAATACTTACACATGGTAGAACAAGAATGTTATTTCCCATTGAGGGAAAAATAAAGTCAGCTTGTTTGTCCCTGACATTCTTTTGTTACCAGCATTCAAATTTTAGGGTTCCTCTTTGATCATAAAAAGAAAATCAATTTAGGGAAACCATTCATTTCCGATTCCTGATCTGATATTGTCACAGAAAGAGGCAGTGAATTACTTTACAAGTTAAACCAAGTATTCCTTTCCTCTTTGGCTATATTTCACAGATACTTTAGAATCTAAGATCCGGTTGAGATTATATGTTCTTAATGCTTTTACCACTGGTTTATTTTTCCATAGGGAAAAAAAAATTGAAGGACTGAATTTTATACGATGTTTATCTGCTTTTCATTCTGATGTCTTGACTGTAAAGTTGCATGAAACAAGTTTTGCTGTTGTTCAAGAGGTAATCCTAAAAACGTATTTTTTGATAGAGAACTAAAACATGTATTTAGCCTCTCACTAAAAATCAGTACACTTTAACAAGTGATAAGGAATATAGCCTCTGTATTTTGGCCATTTTTACTGATTAAGTGAATAAAATGAATAAAACAGTGAATAAAAAAATGCAAAGCTTTGCATTTATTAAATGTTTACCATGTGCCAGGCACTCTCCCAAGATTTAGAGAAATCTATTCAAACAAGCAAGATAGTCTCTCTTTTGAAGAAAATTATGTCCTAATAGGGAAAAACAGCACATTGAGGGTGGCAAGGGAGGAGTGTTGATTTCATTACTGTTTACAGAGCCAGAGTAGGAAGGGGAAGGGCGAGAATTGTATGTGTGTTGTATGAAAATGCCCAGGGAGTAGCAGGATGGGTCTGGGTCTGGGCTAAATGACATATGCCCCTCCAATCAGAAGCCCGGGTTCCCAGGGCAGGAGCTTGGAGCGTTAGATCTGATGTGGAGATAGAGGCACAGGAACATGTCATGGAGAATCTGAGTTTGCCCTGGACGTGATAAATTCTCTCCAGTCAGAAACCCAGCTTCCTAGGGCAGCAAACAGGAGTTCCCAAGCATGGACAGAAAAGTGAAAATATATTACTGATACTTTTTGAAATAAGGGAATTTAATGCTGAGATTGGTTAATATTGGTGAAATAGAATTTGTGTTTTTGTTGATTTGCCTTTTAATTTAGCAAAAATTATTCTTATTTAAGATTTTAAAATTTTTAGGTGAAAAATTTACGCTCTGGAGTTTCTCGTGCTGCTGTGGTCTGTTTAGGTGATCTCTTTACTCATCTGAAAAAGAATATGGATCAAGAAATAGATAACACAGTAAAAGTTCTGTTGCATAAAGCTGGTGAATCAAACACATTTATAAGAGAAGATGTAGACAAAGCATTGAAGGCCATGGTTAATAATGTAACTCCAGCACGTGCAATTAGTTCTCTAATAAATGGAGGACAAAGGTAATATTCATAAAAACTTCAAATAAATTTAGCTAAAGTGGAATTTCATACTGTCCAGACTGTAGAGAAAGAAGGCAGATTTTAGTTTTATTTACACAGAGGGTTAGAAGGAAACAGATGTCAATCTCAGCCATTTAATAAACATTTTTTTAAGTGCCGGCTCTGTGCCAGGCTGTGTGCTAAACCAGACACTGATTATAAATATCTTTTTTATGCCATTTGTGCAGGGGTGGCTGATCCAAATTCTTAATACATACTTCCTTTTTTAGCTTAGAAGGATTGGGGTAGAAGGTTGAGAGCAATTTAGTGGTTTATCAACTCTGATAAACAGTTAATCTCATTGATGAGTTTCATTTTACTATTATTTCCTTGCAGCCATTTACACATTGCTGTACGAAGATGTGCAGCCCAGCACTTGTCTGATGTAGTGGAGCAAATGGAACCAGAACGGATTTTGTCAGGAACAAAAGACCTGGCCGACCGGATACTGCCAGCCGCTGCTAAGTTTGCACAAGACAGCTCACAAGAAACCAGGTGAGCTGGTGCTCGTAGAATAAGTGTAATCTAGTAACACCTGGGATTGGGAAGGCTATTTTGGCGTGAACAGGAAGCTGACTTAAAAGTAGGACACAAAAGGGTAGGGCCAAATGGGCATTTCTCTGAAAGGAGAAGTGTCAGCAGCGGGGTCCCTCGGGATTGGTGCTGGTACTGACCTTGTTTAACATTTTCATAATTAACCTGAAAGAAGGAGTGCGCAGTGAATTCTCCAGATTTACAGATGACACTACGCACTTCTGGGTAGTGAAATGCCAAGTCACAGGGATGAACTTCAGGAAAATGCCACAAGGCTATGTGAGTGGGCAGAAAAGTGGCAGATGAACTTCATTGTGGGCAAGTGTAAGGTAATGCATTTAGGGAAATATAATCCACATTGTACTTATAGAATAATGGGTTCCAAGTGATCAGTTACAGTCCAAGAAAGGAGTTAAGGGTCATTGAGCAGTGTTCATTATAGACATAGACCCAGTGTGCTGCTGCAGTGAAAAGGCCATCAAAGTGCTAGACATCATGAGGAAGAACATGAGGGGACATGTTATCCTACGTTCAGTGTTCAGGGCCATAATGTATTTGGAATACTGTGTGCATTTTTTTATTCTCCCTCAAGAAAAATAAAGACACAGGTAAAGGATGTCCAAAGAAGGGTATTACCAGGACTGAAGGGTTGCTATATGGAGACAGATTTTTGAAGATAGGCTTTTTTTTGCCTGGAAAGGTAAAGATTGAGAAGGAATATGATCAAAATCTTTAAAATCACAATTGATAAGTGGATTACAGAGACAGCCTTTAAAACATTAAAGGGATGTATTTTAGACAGAGAAGTACTATTTTACACAGAAGTAAGTAAGTAAACCTTTGGAATTTATTACTCCTAAAGTAGTACAGAAAGTGACATTCAAGAAGGATTTGGATAAATTCATGAATGTTAGAAACATGCTATATTATTATGAAAAGCTAAGATTATTTTGGAATACACCCTTTAACCTTCCCTTAATGGTAGTCATTGGGTCTTACTTTTCATAGAATTTTTTATTTATCCTTGCAATTTTGAAATTATTACATACTGAAAATTAAATATTCAAGATTGAATATTTTTCATTTCATATGTGTCTTATCACCTGCTTATTGGCCTTTCTGTACTACAGGATCTTTCTATCTCCTGTCCTTAGACCCTGTTGTGATTCTTAGATCCCCAGTAGGGATTTAAGTACCAGAGTTGTCTCCAAGAAACTTCTAACTGCTTAGGGGCTGGTCGTCTGGATTGTGAGCCATATTCTGATTCTAGGAACATTGGAATTGGGGAATAATGTTTGTTTTCTCCACATATTCCCATTTTCTCCTTAACTACTTTATAGTTATGGGAAAAGCATAGAAAGGAGATAGATCTGTTTGGACTTTCTGAGACCTCAGTGCCTCTTTTCTTTATCTCTTCCTACCCTCCAAATTATACACCCATACCTGGAAGTTTAGACAAAAGGGGAAAACCCGTTGGAATGCATATCAGGGCCAGCCCAGCACTTTGGCAGAAAAGGCAGCTCTCTACTTGACAGAAGTTGAAGGTTACCGCTTAGTTTTGGGCCCCCAAACCCTGCCCCTTGTTGCTGTAAGCTCTTTCTGGCTTAACTATGTCATTTGAAGTTCACACTATGAGAACCATTTCTTTGAAGTATCATTTCTAGAATATTGTTATCAAAATTCACATATTTTACCTGGGAGTAGCAAAGCATTTTCATTATCAACGTTAATATAGATTTAACGCAGTTACTTAACTGTATCCCTAGAAAGCAAAGAACAAGTTCCTGAGAGATAGGTACACATAGGACAGGTAAGTTTTTGATGGGGGTGGATTGAGAAAGAAAAAAATCAAATTATAGGGTTCTTACTTAAGATGTCAAGCTCCAGTGAGTCAACCAAGTCAGAAGCTCCAAGTAGGCGGCTGATAATCAGGTTACTGAGCATTGAAGCAAATGCCAGAGATACACTTGACCTGCTTCACAGTTTTGCCGAAGGTCAGCCAGTGTTGGCAAGCAGGATTTCCATAGGGACTCATAGGATTGAGCAAAGCAATTGGCTCTTCATCTGGACTATGATCCGGAGCCAGGTGACCACAAAACATTAGGATGTAGTGCTTTACAGTCTGTTTAAATTGATAATGACAAGTAGGTTTTGGGGTTGAATTAATAGTGATAATAATAATACAGACTCTTAAACAACTTAAGTCTAAATAATAGGAATATTTCTGTCATGTTTGCAGGTATTATGGTCGAAAGATGCTGTTCCTCATGATGTCCCATCCTAACTTTGACAAAATGCTTGAAAAATATGTCCCGTGTAAAGATTTGCTTTATATTAAAGAATCTGTTAAAAACTTACGTCAAAAGGTATGTGGAAAAGATTGGAATTTAATGAACAATTTAGAAATGGAAAATTTTTCACCTTCGGTGAAAAATTAAGAATAGAAATAATTATTTTCTGTTTCTTCTTCCATCATGTTAACTGTTTAGGGCAAATGCTCCTTCAGCAGCAGAGTTCCTGAAATTCCATTTTCCTCGTATAATGAAATCTCTTTATTCCTATGCAGTGGAGCTTTTCTGGATAATAGCTGGCCTCATAATGGTAGAATAGGTGCCATCCTGATATACTAAAAATATGTTTAATTTCGTAATAGCTTGAATTATCATCATTGAGAATATCTTTACTGATAGCCTTAGGAAACATGCTAAGGAAGGCAGACCAGCACTAATTGATGAAAATTACAAAAAAAAAAAAAAACCACATTCAGGCTTATGATAAACAGTAGGAGCTGTCCAAAAGTGGAATGGGCGTAGTGGAATGGAAGTAGTGGTTTTCCTATCTTTGGAGATCTTAAAACAAAAGCTGGATGGTAATTTGTAGGGTCAGTTTTAGAAGGGAATTCTTTTTGGACTCTAGATTGGACTCAAGTGGCTTCTGAGATCCATCATAACCCTGAGACCCTGTGACACTTACAAATCTGTGGTAGCCCAAGGACAGGCATAGGGATCTGGGTTACCCTGTGATTTCATTGGTGTAGAGTACCCATGGGTGAGGAAACCCCACTTTACCAATGCGTCTCTACACCTCCTCTGAAACTGTAGTCTCTGAGAGCTGCGTAGAGCACTGAGAGGTTAAGGGTCACCAGCGTGCACTGGAGGAAGGAATGGAACCCAGGTCTCCGTGTCTCAAAGCAACCTTTCTGTCCACTATACCACACTGTTCGTAGAGTCACAGAATTTTAGAGCTAGAAAGAGTTTACATGTTTTCTCCAACTTCATCACCATTCTTTTATTTATTAAACTTGAAGATTCCAGTACTTAGATCTCTACCCCAAGCAAAAATCTGTTCCTTTTAATAAATGAAGCATTTGTATTTATAGAATTATTCCAAGTATCATTATCAAGAAAAGCATGCCATGTATATGTGTACACACATGTGCGTTTAATGTCATTTACCTGTGTAACTTTGGGAAGGTCACTTAAAACCTGTCTAGGCCTCAGTTTCCTCATCTGTAAAATGAAGACGTTGGACTATATCACTTTAAAGTCCCCTTCCAGCTCCAAATTGATGATTTAGGATTTAATTAATGAAACAAATTGAGAGTATAGAAATTACGCACACAGAGTTTGTCTTTGAAAGAATGTTGTCGTACTGTTTATTTTGCGGAGTTGCAAGGGTAAATAAATAGAATATACATAGGATTTTTAAAAATTTCTTTAAAAATGAAACTTTTGTTCCTGTCGGCTATTATATTATATTACATAGATATATTAGCTGCTGTGGCTATAACAGCTGTCAGGGACAAGAAGTCTTAGAGATCAACTTAGTGGTGAACAACTACTGGGTTATTTAGAATCATAAACTGCTTATATCACAGACTCAGTAGTTTATTTCATATTAGCATACATTATAGTAATTTGTTGCTAGTAAATCCTGCAAGGATCTCCTGGTAACGATACCTTAAAAAAAGTACATAGATTTAAAAAGCACTGTAATAACTGCTATGAAAAAATTGTGTTATCTGTTTTGAATTTATAAATTACTAGTTCTGTGATTTTAATTATATATTGTAATACTTGGCTTTCTCTTTTTCACCTTCAGGGATTAGGAGAGATACCATTAGATACTCCATCAGCCAAAGGAAGGCGTTCTCATGCTGGCAGTGTTGGAAGTACAAGGTCATCTTCAGTTTCTAGAGATGTTCTCAATTCAGCTGAAAGGCAGGATCATTTGATATGTCAATAATTTGATTAATTATTGTGTGGAAATAATTCTTTTGACTTTTTTCTTGAACTGGTTTCCCCCAGGAGGACTGTAAAAATTGAATGGAATGTTGAAAATTAAAGTACAACACACAGAGTGTGAAGCAATAAGGCAGTTGTATATTTACAGCATACTTATTGTCACCAAGCAGTTAAGCATTGGTTAGGTTTTTAAAACAAATCTACTGGTAAAACATTTTGTTGCCCTGTTTTTACATAGCTTGAGGTTTAATATAGTAAGTCTAAATTGGACCCCAAGAGTTTTTTTTAACCTTTGAGAAAGTACTGTGTTCTTTTTGATAACTATAAAATTATATTGTTGAATAATAGTTCCAAGCCAACATGAAAAGGCATGTTTTGTGATGTATTCCGTTATTTACGCTATAGTACTGTTTTTATGGGACCACTGGAGAAAACATTGTGTTCGAAAAAATTTTTTTTATAATTCAACAAAAAATTAATACCCAAAGATACTGCAGAAAAAAGGATAGTTTTATGAATGTGCCCCTTAAGTTCTACAGATGACCTATTTAAGCTTAAATAATATAGCACAAAGTCTTACTTCATTGCCCCCTTATTGGGGGAGAGGGGTGACTGTGGATTCTTGATGGCCATACCAGCAGAGTACAAGATTAGATAAGTTCATCATACTGGAAGGGGTTCAAGTGTGTTTCTGGAAACAGGCTAGACCTGATCTTCAAAAACCAGCCTAATTGAACACAGAGAAATCGTCAACAGCAGGCTGGCCACTTGGTAAAGAATTCTTTGACCATCACAACCCATGAAACAGAATTATTACTCAATCTTTCTGCTTCTGTAGTGACAGTTGCAGAGTAGCTGAGAATTGCATGGTTTTTAGGTCATGTACAAATATGTGATGTGGTGTGAAAAAGAAACAAAAAATACAACGAATACTGAGAATCGTGAAAAGACTTAAGTGAATTGATCTAAGAAGTAAGCAGAACCAAGAAAACAATATAAATAATAACTAAAACAATATAAATATAAGAAAAACATTACCACAAAATTATCAGAAATGAATATTGTAAAATTACAAAGAAGAAGCTTGGCCACAAAGAAGAGATAAAGAAAGATACCTCACCCTACTCCTTTGCAAAGGTGGGGAGTCCACAGGTGTGGAACGTGACATTGAATGGCAGATTATTTCAGTGTATTGATTGTTTTAGGTTTTGGGGGGGTTTGGTTTGGTTTTTTGTTTTTCAGCCAAAGACAAGGCTTTTTAAAAATCTGCCATATTGGCCAGATTCTTGAGGAATCTAATACAGGTGGGCCAGATTTTAAGAATCTGAGCCCTTGGCTAGACTCTTAAGGAGTCTGACCCTATTAATTGGTTTTGATGAATTTTTTTTCCTCCTCTTATTTTTACTTTTAAAAAATTCATTGTTATGATAAATGGCTTTCTAGGTAGGAGGAAGAAGAGGAATACAGACAAATTTAGATAATATAAAAATATTAAAAGTCATTTTTAAAAATCACTTCTCTTTGGAAGTGGCCATATGTTTAGCTATGCTTAAATAGATACGCTTATCTTAAAGAGAAACTTAGAGGTAACTACTTTGGTGGCTATGATAATCATTGCCACCAGTACCTCCAAATGAAAAGCTATCTTTGCCAAAGTTACCAGTGCCTGTAGGATCATTTTCAGGATTAGTTATTCCTATTTAGTCACAGTGTAGAAAATAGTATACTGCTAAAAAAAAGCCCTGGCCACAATAGATTAGGCTGTTTTTTAAAAAATTCCTCATTTAATATTTTCCTGGCCTTTTTGGGAGGAGAGGATTCTTCCTTCCATCATTTAAAAGGACTTATGAGTTCTAATGAACTAAAGAAGCCAAAAGGAATTTCTTCCCCGAGACCAGGGGAACAAACAGCAGACAGTTTTGAGAATCCTGGGAATATAATTGTTTATAATATGTATATGCGTGTGTGTGTATTACTGCAGTAAGTGACTTTGCAGAAAATTAAGTATGCTAAATACGCTTCTCTTCTTCCCATTAGGGAGATTATAGACATCCGTGAAATAAGAAAAACCATTCCCCGAAATTCTTCAGAAAGTGCTGAATATATTAAAGTCATAACAGGTTTATTGAATGCAAAAGACTTCCGAGATCGAATTAATGGAATCAAGCAACTTTTATCAGACACTGAAAACAGTCAAGAACTTGTTGTTGGAAACATTGTAAAGGTAACAGTATGCAAAAAGTATTTACAGCAGAGAAGCCTCACTCCCTCTCTGTGTAGGTGAATAAACAAACTTAAAATATGTAACTTGATAATTTTATCACATTTAACTTTGTTTTGAGACCATGAAAATTAGAGCTCATGGAAAAAATTAGACTTAGAAAGTAAGCCTAATTTAGAAGAGAATAAGATACTAAAATGAATTTAAAATGTCTGTAGTAAAAATAATAATATATGGGGAGGTCCAGTTTGCTCAGAAAGAGGAAACTCTTTATATGCGGTTTTAAAATTAATTTGTAACTGACCTTAATTCATGTATACTTGAATTTAAAGTATATGGTCATTGTGACATTGTTAGAATATTATGCAAATTATATTTTAGATAAAACTTTGTGACACCAAAACGAAAACATTACTTGTTCTTTTATTTGAAATCAATTTGATTCATCTTACTTTAGATTTAATACAATGAAATAATTTCATATTTAAGCCAGTGCATGATCTCATCGGTGTGAGTGGTACTACCTCCAAAAGGGTAGACCTTCCCTGCTAGGAATGGGTTTCTTGTTCTGTTTTATGACTAGCATTGAGATTTTAATGGAATTATAATACTGAAGTAAAGAGTGACTTATAAATCTTTTCTCTTTTGCATAAAGGGCCCAGAAAGATAGCTTTTAAATACAGATTTTTAATGTCTATACAGTTGATTGATAGCTCATTACCTATGTCACAGGCAGCGAGGTGGCACAGTAGATAGAGAGCCAGGCCTGGAGTCAGGAAGACCAAAGTTCAGATCAGGCCTCAGACACGTATTAGCTGTGTGACCCTGGAACAGTCACTTAGCCCTGTTTGCCCTCAGTGTTCTCATCTGTAAAATGAGCTGGAGAAGGACATGACAAACCATGCCAGTCTCTTTGCCAAGAAAACCCCAATGAGGTCACAAAGAGTCAGACACAGCTGAAACAACTCGACAACAAATACAGTACTTGAAGGTCTGCAAAACACTTCACGTATGTATATTACCCTTCTGAGAAACTACTGCAGTGACTGAACAACAACTACCCCAAGTCTGGTTTGCATTTTTTAGAGTTCTAGCATTAGTGATTACGTTTTTTCCCCATCTCATTCAATATCATTAACTCATTTATTTTCAGATCTTTGATGCTTTTAAATCTCGGCTACATGACTCAAATAGTAAAGTAAACCTAATAGCTCTGGAAACAATGCATAAAATGGTTCCTTTGCTCAGAGATAACTTATCGCCTGTAATCAACATGCTCATTCCAGCAATAGTGGATAACAATCTAAATTCCAAGAATCCAGGAATTTATGCTGCTGCCACAAATGTCATTCATGCTCTGAGTCAGCATATTGGTAAGAAAGTTTCATTTTAAAGCTAAAAGAGAGTTTATATTTATACTTGATAAAATGTTCCTGCTCTTTTATATCTCAATTTCTTTAAGCACATTAACCTAGTAAAGAACTTTAAATTAATTACTTGGTTTTGTCATTGTGTAAACTTTTCAAACATATCTACTTTCTAGAAATAAATGTTTTTCTGCCTCTTAATGAAAAATTAATATTCCATAACTATATTCAATTTCTCTTTTATCCACTTTTATTTAGACAATTACCTACTTCTACAGCCTTTCTGTACAAAAGCACAGTTTTTAAATGGAAAAGCAAAACAGGATATGACTGAAAAGCTTGCTGGTAAATATGTTGAATTTTCTGATGATATGAATTTTTAGCTGTTTACAAATTGGTAACCAGTATTAAAAAACCTACCTGATTCCATATTATTTTGCCTTAAAGTTAAAGTAAGCCACTCTGTGTACCCCAACAAGACTTTTTAGAACTTTCAAAGCATTTTTTAATGTTTTCTGTCTTCCTAATACAGCTTTAAAAAAAAAAGGGTCCTTAAAAGAAGCCCTTATGAAGCCCTTTAGAAATTATCTGTAAGACAGAGAGTATGCCCTCTCAGTATTTTTACTATTATGGCCCATGATTTAGAATGTAGCTTTATTTCTTTGTAATGGAATACAATTTTCACTCAGAAAGGAGCATTTCAGAGTGAAGTTGGGGTTTGGCTTCCTCATTCCTATTCTTCTGGAAATAAGTTATTGTGCCAAATGTTGTAGTATGTCTTATTTTGTTACAAATTTTAAAGTAGTTTAGTTTAAAATGTTGAAATGTTTTATTTTCATTCTTTAGTGAATTTTTATAACACTCTTCTATGCCTGTTTCATATTTCATATTGGAATGAGTTGGATTTTACATGTTTTTAATTAAAACAAACTGAATTACAGTAGACATTTACTCATATACCATATGATTGCATTTCAGATCTTGTTATGGATCTCTATCAAAGGAAACCTCACGCTGTAGAACAGAAGGTGGTGGCTGTCCTCTGGCACCTCTTAGGCAACATGACGAATAGTGGCTCACTACCTGGAGCTGGAGGGAATATCCGAACAGCCACAGCTAAATTATCAAAAGCACTTTTTGCACAAATGGGTCAGAGTCTACTAAACCAGGCTGCATCTCAGCCACCACAAATTAAAAAGACTTTAGAAGAACTGCTTGAAATGACAACTTAAAATGAATTCTGTATGTTACTCCGTTAATATGTAATGCAATAAGATAGGCTAAAAATACCTGTTTACATGAAGACACATGGAGCCTTTTTAAAAGGTAAATTGTCACAGTACCTATCCTTTTCATTTAGAAACTATCTGGAATGGCAGCTTTTTGACAGCTTGTAAAGCACACCTCTGTCTTATATTAGCATTACCACACTCATGATCAAACCTCTAACACACATGAAACAGTCAGTATAACACTCACAAATTCTATTTGAGAATACATGGAATGAATCCATCTTTAACATTTACAAGGAAAGTCCTGCTCATTTGCACTCCTCTGTAGAAACTGCAGTATGTTGCCCTATATGTACAATTAGATTTGTAACTAAAAATAGAATTTTTATTATGTAATCATGTTCTGATACGTCTTATTACTTAGCCTTATTTTACAAAAGTGGAAAAGACGTCATTGAAATGTATGTACCACAAAGAGAGATTTGTTTGCTACTTGTAAAAAACATGTATTTCTTAAATCAGTCCACCCTTATGATTGTGCAGTATTAGCTTGCTCGTGCTGGTATCTTGATGTAATATATTTGCTTAGCTATTGGGCATTATCATCTATGTAACTGTAAGATTTAAGTAACTTATAATAAAGCATGATGACAAATTTTTGGGAAACAGATTTTCAGATATTTTAAAGTACACGTTTATTTAAGAAAACGTGTGAATATAACTTCCCTATCTTTGTGTGAAAACACTAAATTTTCTCTCTGCCCAACATCTATAAAGGTATTATATCTCTGCCCAGTTGTATAATCTTCAGCAATAGTGCCACGTCTTCTATTGATTTTCTCAAGGTTGTCCAGCTACAAGTACTGTACTACATTTTAAAAAGGAAAAGGAATGTTATAAAATAAAGGGATTTATTTCTGTAGATGTGTGAGTGTTGTTTTTCCCCCCAAAAAAATGGAAAAATAATCAGATGTTGTCTTGAGATTCCTTAATTCTTTTTTTGGTTTCCAGTGTTGGAAGTAATGAGCAGACTCACCTTCAAATCCCCAAAACATTCAGGACTGAAAAAGTGTATAGATGCACTTGGTAGTGAAGCAAGTATACGGCCCAGGTGGTGGCAGAAAACTATTAATATTGTAAGAATAGGATTACAGCAAAAACAAATATACTGCCTATAGAGGACTGGGCGCCCTGGCGTCTAGAGTGATGGTCTTTTTCTCAAGAGACAATCCTCAACTAAAGAATTCTTGCATAAGTAGCTGTCATGAAGTCCAATTTACTTGTCTCTGGAGACACCACGTTGGATTTGTTGCAGTTCAAGGTTTAGAACCTCTAGCTGAGTCTCTAGTTTTTGTAGTTCTGGAGACCATGGCAGCACCTAATTGAACTTTAATAACATAGCACTTCACATATTTGTTTTTGACAGTTCATCCTTTGCTTTATAGCATATCTGTTAAGGCAGTTCTAGCCAGTTAAGTCAGGAGTTGGGGGGAGGAGGATGCAGTTTTGGCCATTAGACATTTTAACATTAAAAAATAATTGTTAGTTTATTTCTCCTCTAATTTTTTATATTCTTTTTGTTTATTTTAGGTTTATTTGTTGGCTTTCTATTTTTAAAAATGCATATTCAGTTCATCAGTCATCTCATTTTCTATTTTGTTAAAAATGTATGTTTGTAGGAAGAGAATTTTTCCTAGAGGATTGCTTTAGCTGCATTTCAGAATAGATACTCTGGAAACCAGACAAAGCTATAGGAATTAGAAATAAAACTGGTTCTTTGGAAAGACTAGTAAAATTGATATACCTTTAGCTAATCTGATTAAAAAGAGGGCAATAAATCAACAAACCAACATAATAGCAAATGAACAAAGTGAAATTACAATAAAACTAAGAGGTATCAGAACCTGCTATGCACAGTTATGTGCTAACAAAACTGAGAGCAGAAAAGAAATAGAATGGCTTCAAAAATAACAGACTAAAAGAAGACCAATTAGAGGTCTTAAGTAATTCAATCTCAGAATAAGAAATGGAAATTACTGGGGCAGGTAAGAGACACAGTTGATAGTGCAGGGCCCTGGAGTCAGGAGGACTGAATTCAAATTCGGCCTCAGACACTTAACACTTACTAGCTGTGTGACCCTGGCCAAGTCACTTAACCCCATTGCCTAGCAAAAAAAAAAAAAAAGAAAAGAAAAGAAATAGAAATTGCTGTAAGGGAACTACCGAAGTGGGGAGGGAGGAAGGGTGGGGAAAGATTCAATCCTGATCGATTCACTGGAGAACTTGATCAGACTTTTAAGGAAATAGTATCGATACTATATAAATTATTCTCAAAAATTGAAAAAGAAAGCTCCCTACTAGATTCTTTTTATAAAACAAATACAGTTCTAGTCCTTAAACAAGGGAAGAATAAAGCACAAAAGGAGAACTATGAGACCAATATCATTAATGAATATTGGTTCAAAACTTAAATCCTGGGGGCAACTAGGTGGTACAGTGGATAGAGCACCAGCCCTGAAGTCAGGAGGACCTGAGTTCATATCCGGCCTCAGACCAAACACTTGACACTTACTAGCTGTGACCCTGGGCACGTCACTTAACCCCAATTGCCTAAAAACAAAAACAAACTTAAATCCTTTCAAATAAACTGTGGTGGTTCATCTAAGAAATCATAACTAAGTTGGATTTACACCAGGGATAAAAGCATGGCTCCTTTACTAGGTAAAATAATAAAATTCATTTTGAAAAATTAAAGATCTGGATATCAAGTTAAATAATGAAAAGAGATAGGGACAAAGGGGGAATGGCACTTCCAGACCTCAAGCCATATTACAAAGCAGCAGTCATCAAAGTAATCTAGTGAAAGCTAAAATATGTATGTGTATGTATAATTAAATTTTGTTTTAACAGGCAGGGAAAGACATTAACAATTTGAGAGATATGTACAGTCGCTACTGACTTGTTAGTAAAAAGAATTTGTAAAATTTTTAAGTGGAAGAATAACAAGGAAAACACATGGAGCATATGAACCCCAAAACTGTAAACGAGTAACTAAAAAAATGGGAAATGGACAACAGAATTGGCATTGTCTCAGACTAGAATGATTTCATCCAGAAGTTTAACCAGTATTAATTAATTACCACAACAAGGAGACCAAAAGAGCCTGGAAAATGCCTTAGTCAGCAAACAACTGACTTATTTGCCATACAGAGATAGCTACCAAAGCCAACACCCACTGAAAATATATGGTGAACAAGCATGATTAATATTATCTCAAAGCAGAGAGAAACAGTAGACAGTAAGACCAGTTTAAAGAACATGTGGGAAAATATCCAATTAAACAAAGTCATCCCAATGGTATTAAAGGATAGAAATGGAAAGACTACAAACAGGAAAAAAAGGAAAAGATTAGAATAATTAGAAAGGGTCCTAAAGAAAGAACTGAAGGGCAGTTAGGTGGCGCAGTGGATAGAGCTCTGGCCTTGGAGTCAGGAGGACCTGAGTTCAAATCCAGTCCAAACACTTGAAACTTACTAGCTGTGTGACTTTGGGCAAGTCACTTAACCCCGATTGCTTCACACACAAAAAAAAACTGAAATGAGAAAAAAACAGCCAGATTGGTTTGTGTATAGAGGAGACGTGCTGAAGGCAATAGTGAGAGCATGGAAAGAGGTATCTACAGGAGAGGGAAGTACCTAAGGTGTGGGAAAAGATTTCAGACCCTATTCATGCTAAGAAGGAAGGAAAGAGAAGAGGAAACGAAGGGAGGGAGGGAAAGGAGGAAGGAAGGAGAGAAGAAAGGAAAAGAAAGCAAAGAACAAAAGAATACCAGAAAATCTATAATTGGCAATGTAAGTGATTACTTTCTCAGCTATACACCATCCTTTGCCTGGTACCTCCTTTTTTTTTTTCCAAGCAATGTTTTTTTTTTTTTGGCATATCTTGTGTCTTCATTCAAATTATAAAGCTTCTTTGTCAATCCAAGGACATATGAAAGAGATGGATAGATAAAAAATATGTATCAAATAGAGTGATAAGGGCCACAAAGGGGAAATCCAAGTGGTGCATTAAATGCTTAGATGTGCCACAGTAAATTATGTAAAGAGATTGGTCTTTTTTTGTTTATAAGAAAACTTACATATTTTGTGAGGTAAGGGTTCTATAAGGTTTAAAACACTACAAACCAACTAAGAAAATTTTCAATGATGATTTTTTCAAAAGGTTAAAAAAATGTTTTAAATGGTATTAGGAGTTCATTTAAACATAGGAACTTTTTGCTTGTCTCGTGTTGTTGTACCATTCAGTGACTAAGTAGAAATACAAGTGGAGTAGGCTTTATTATTTAATGCTGATTTTATCATCTTATGAAGTGTTACTATCCATTACCAAAAAGGTGATTTTAACTGTGACTCTTGCATAAAACAAATCTTGATATCTAAAAGCAAATGAAATTTATAATTATTTCCACTCTGTACATTTCTTATTAAACTGCAGTCATCCTGGATATTTTAAAATTCAACCAAACAATGATAAGTGGAATGGTTTATAGTACAATATGTTTTTGGTTACATCAGACAAAACTTTCTTTTATAGTCATCTTCAAGAATAGGGAAAAATCTTCAGATGTAATGATTTGTATTACATTTTGTTTTATGTTTTGAAAATTTTAGAAAAGCTTTTACCAGCTTCATTTAGAGATAATTATAACTTTGCTATTAAGCCCTGCTTGGGGTTCTAATTCTCTGTGAACATACTAAAAGAAAAAAAGTCAATAAATTAAAAAGCACCACAACATAATGTTCAGTAAATCCAAGAACAGGCACTGAGGTAAGGACTTTTTTTTTTTGTGAGGGAATTGGGGTTAAGTGACTTGCCTGGGGTCACATAGCTAGTGTCAAGTATCTAAGTCTGGATTTGAACTCTGGTTTTGGAGTCCTCCTGACTCCAAGGCACCACCTAGCTACCTAGGACTTATCATTTTTAAAAAAATTGCTGGGATAATTGGAAAACAGAGCAACTGGGTGACACAGTGGATAGAGTGGTAGGCCTGGAGTCAAGAAGACCTGAATTCAAATCTGGCCTCATACACTTAGAAGCTGTGTAAGTCTGGGCAAGTCACTTAACCCTGTTTGCTTCAGTTTCCTCATCTGTCAAATGAGCTGGAAAAGGAAATGGCAAACCACTCCAGTATCTTTGTCAAGAACACCCCCCAAAAAAAAGGGGGGGCCATGAAGAGTCAGACATGACTGAAAGCAAATGAACAAGAAAAACTGGAAAACAAGCTTGCAGAAATTAGATTTAGAACAACATCTCACACCAAGTACCACATAATAAACTTCAAATGAGCACATGACCTAGAATATAAAAGTTCATATAAATTAGGCAAGAAAAAAAGGAGAAACTCTTACAGCTAAGGAAAGGGGCTTTGCTTCACTCAGAATATCTCATTGATCCTATTGACCAAGTGGGAGAGAAACGATTGAAAGAGAGCAAAAGAACAATCTTAATTCCACAAAACTGAAGTTTTGTATCCAAAAAAAAAGGGAATGTGGTTATGATGCATTTGCTTGTGGTTGGACCACAGCCCTAGGACCATATCTCTCCCCAGCCCAAAGACCCATCTCTGGCAATAACTCATGAGTGGGCCCAGTGAGGCAGACTATCTCCAAACACTTGACATGTACTAGCTGTGTGACCCTGGGCAAGTCACTTAACCCCAATCGCCTAAAAAGAAAAAGAGAGAAAGAGAGAGGAAAAAAATGAAGGAAACACTTAACTGGGAAAACATTTTCAGCACATTTTTCTGATGTCATATCTCCTAGATACATAGGAAAAATGATACGACTATCAACTGGGCAGCTAGACGGTTGAGTGGTTAGTGTTGTACTTAGAAGCAAAATGACCTGATATCAAATGCTGCTT